TGCCCCCGCCCGTGCTGTGGCTGGTGGTGGAGCCGGCGGCGGAGGCCCTGCCCACGGCGCGGCTGCTGCGCGGCGCCGGGGTGGCGTACCGGCACCTGACCTACCCGGAGAACTTCACGGCCGACGGCGTCGGCATGGAGAAGGAGCGGCACCACCAGCGGAACCTGGCGCTGGAGCACGTGGAGGAGCACCGGCTCGCCGGGGTCGTGCTCTTCGCCGGCCTCGGCGACGTCTACGACCTCCGCTTCTTCGACCAGCTCAGGCAGATCAGGTGAGTGCGCGCGCGCGTCCTGCCTCCAAAACTTTTAGCTAGCCATCGGATCATGCATCATGCACGCACTTTTCATCAGCGTGCATGATCTTAGCACCACCCGCCATTACAAACAGCATTTCAGCATAGTGAGTTAGCAGCTGGATGCATGATCTTGATTCTTGACAGTGTTCGTTATAGTGAGTGTTTGGCCGGTGTCGGTGGAGTTTGAGGGTGCATTAGTGGATGGTTGACAAGCCGGAAGTAGGCCATGGTGACCATGGCGACCGATGAGTAGTACAGGACGCAGCTTTGAATCGACCAGGAATAGCTAGATGGCACGACGGATGTCACACTGAGCACTAGTGCACCACGTTGTCGCGCGACTGCGTCCATGCATGTGCGGACCATGCTCGGCTCTCGATGCTCTGCCTCCTCCTCTGCTTCAGCGCCCGCCCAAGTGTCGGCAGCGCCGTCCAGTCCGAGAAACATGGATGGACGAATGATTGGCCACCTTTAATCAATCTGAACCATTTCTGTGCACTCATTCATTAGCCCTCGCTTTTTGTTACGTGCCACTGACACGTGCACTGTGCATGTCTACGGTGAAGGACGTTCGGCGCGTGGCCGGTGGCGACCGTGTCGGATCGCGAGCGGAGGGCGACGGTGGACGGCCCGGTGTGCGGCGGCTCGCCGTGGGCGGTCACCGGCTGGTTCTCCACGGCCGACGCCGCGGGGGCGCCGGCGGTGAGGGCGAGGCCGCCGGCCGGCACGGTGGACGTGGCGCGCTTCGCGTTCGGCAGCGCCCTGCTCTGGCACCCCAGCCGCTGGGACAGCTTCCCCGTCTCCGAGCCCGACGCCTCACAGGTACAGTACTCATTACTCAATTAACTAGCTTCCACATTTTAGTCCGCCGTTCCGCACACGACGACGGCGGGCTTGTCGTCAAAGCGGCCGCGAAAGCGTGCGGCTTTTCGTCCGTGAAATTTGCCCCGTCAATTTTGTTGCTGTGCGCCGGCAGGACGAACGGCCGGGACAGGACATAAACTAAGGCCGTGATTCATGCGCGGCGTGCACCGCCACACTAGCTTCCATTTGTCTCGATCTTCACTTCACTAGAGCGCGAAATATTGATTAGTCAGCAGTATCATGGGATCCATGGCCCTGTCTTGGCTAACCCTATATATGTTTTGTTATCAGGATTCCGTGAAGTTTGTGCAGCGGTTGGCCGCGGAGGATTACAACAAGTCGAGGGGGATGCCCAACCGGGATTGCTCGGAGGTTATGGTGTGGCGTGGGGATCAGTTCCTAGCAACCTAGTTTGAGTTACTAACCGGTTGAGTGACTTGTGGTATCACGGACCAACAAATTTAGAAATACAACAAATTTGAACGGTCTCAGATAGGAAAGTACACATACTTTGCGTTTTTCTTTTTGCAGGAGAAATACTTGTATTACTCAACCACCAAGTCATTACAGTCATCACACACTATCTTCAAAACTTCAGTGGACCTGAACCAAGCAAAGTCATTGTCCTGCGATGAACTCTACCAGAACTAGCTAAATTATCTCTAGCGTTATTATGGGAACAAAAAAACGTGAGTAATGGAAGTATGTCTAAGACCCATGAGATATCTGATCTCATTCACCGGCGAAGCATAGACCGAACGATCGGCTTCTCCACTGGAAATTATGGTCATTGCCGTAAGCGAGTCCATCTCAATGGCTATAGGTAGCTCGGAACGCTAAATAGCCAAAAAAAAAACAGACCCTCCATACATGTACATAACTCCGCTTCCGGTGCATCTCTACAAGAAAACAAAGTCCTACATGCTAAAAAAATATTATGGTTCCGACATTGTTATGAAGTATCATGCCCGCACCCGCATCTTCACTCAAAATATAAGAGTCGTCGGTATTCAGTTTGACCCATCCCTCGATTGATGGATTCCATCCTAGGGCCTGAGCTAGTGCACTTGCGGGCACACTAGGACGATCATACGATATGACATCTTTCCCTTTTACCAGATCAACATGAGTGTTAATTTTGATGCCAATCAAGGAATTCAAGTAATTATGCAAAAATCTGACAGCAACATCCATGGACGGGGTAGGTTTATGGTGTACTAATCCATTTCGAACATGCCAACTCCTCCAAAGGCTTATGAGCAACATGGAGTGTTATATATCTCTAAGTGGAGCTAGGGCTTGCAATAGCCACCATTTTCCATTATTAATCACCGACTCAATACTTGGCAACTTCCATAATTTGGCCATCGATAAGTACAGATCTTAAACAAAATACTGCGCAAAAATGGATGTAAATTCTCCATACTGGGCATCTACTTTGTCTCTAGACTAATCTTATGCTTCTTCCACATATACAGGGAGTCCGAAGCCAGACGCCATGCAAGATTTTTGATATGGAAGGTGCCTCACTCTACCAAATGTATTACCAACATGTCCGCCTTTCTGATGCTGTTGAGCTAGAGGAAGCCGCATTGGACCTGTAAACCTCTTACGGATATATTATCAACATGTGAACGTTCAGAGGAAAAGTCGAGAGAATATAAGTATATGTTATTTAAGAAAAACAAAAACATATGTTTTTCTCTGCGTCCCGTGGAAAAGTTTGTTGAAAAGGCATGGATATGTGGAGAGTTTGTTAAGAAGCCATGCATATATAGAACAATTGTGGAGGACTCTCTTAGCAATGTTATCCGACTGTTATAGATATCTATTTGAGAGATTGGATAGGTAAATTTATTGTGTTTTGTCGTACTAACATGTCTCTTTCAGTTTGTGAAAATAATACAAGTTATGCATAATTGTTTCTATCAATTTGATTATACAAAAATAATTAATTAATATCTATTTATATTAAACATTTTTACTTAGTTATATATCATAAAATATTACATACTTTGTTTTTAAATACATTTTATACATTTTTTTTCTATTTTCTAGCAATATTAGTCACATAAATTTGTTGGCAATATTAGAACTATAAGTCTAGTGCCATACACCACGAACTCTATCATTATGATTATATAAATGCTTTACTTGCCAGTAGAACTCTATAATATTTAAAATTATGTTTCCTTTTCAATTTTTGGTCATGAGATTTTGTTGAACTTAGTTTCGTTTTAAACTAAAGAAGGCCAAAAATAGATGGAAACATCACATCCATATGCAAAATAATTGTTCACTTATGTGTATTACAATGGGTTTATACCTATTTTAATATATGTAAAAGACTAATTGGGTGGTGTGGTCGTGGTGGTCGTGGTGGTGGTGGTGGTGGGGGGGGGGGGTTCTACAAGGCAGAAGCCTAGCAAATATCACAAGGAAAGTTCCCATAATAACATTGCATAGCTTAGTTTAACTATGAGGATATTCTAGAATTTATGAGATGTTGGTTTTCGTGGAATTCCCTCATCTCACTTGTTAACATTGCACATTCATGGACAAAAGAAATCCCTTTTTGCATGGTTAAATTTAAATACGATCAATGTTGCGACTTTGTGCAAACAAATAGTGAAAGTCATTTATTTCGGCTTATAGCCACTCAACCAACTATGGTGTTACGTTAAATCCTGAACTAAATCCAGGATTGAATGACTATTCTTTGGGTAAGCAGCATGCCCGTCGACAGCGAGACTCCTGTGGTGACTTCGTTAAACTTAAGACTTGGCGGTTTGGTCTCTTAGAGGTGCTCATAGAGGTAAAGTGTGCGTGCGTATGTTTATGGGAATGAGTGGATGTGTATGTTTATGAGCATAAGCATCTGCATGCACTGTGTTTGCGGGAAAAACAATGTGCAAATTCTCGATAAAAAACACATAGTGCTATGTTTTTTTTCCAGAGAAACATGGTGCTATGTTGTTTGAATGACACCGAGATATTTGTGTTAATTTGAGACATATGGCTTATCCCCCTAGCTTCTTGTGCTAGCAGTGCACTGGACTACCTTGGCACATTTCCAAATGTTTGAAAAATCTGGAAAAAAATAGCGCATTCACATAACATTAAAGTATGTTGTCACAAAAATTCAAATCAAAATTTGAAATAGATACAAAAATGACAAATTCGGCACTGAATATTATATAGGACAAGTTGGGCTTTAGATTTGGCCCATTATCATATTAATGTCACACTTGTCATTTTTGTGTCTCGAGCATTGTTTGGAGTTTAAATTTGAATTTTTGTGACAACATAGGTTCATGTCTTTTCGATGCACTATTTTTTTCTTAGATTTTTTGAATGTGTAACCAGCGTCCGGTGCACCGGTAGCAGAAGAAGCTCCAGTGCACCAGATACGTCTTCTAACCCCCTATCGACGTGAGACAATTTGGCCTATAGTATGACTGAGCATATATACTCTGGAAGAGGTATAGTGCGCTTTGTGGCTGGGTGAACTCAATAAGGCAACAATCATTTTTATGTATATATATTAGTGGCAAAAGACAAAATTGCATGCATGATCATTGTGCACGGAAAGCTACTTGATTACCTATTACAGTATCATTTTTTTTTGCGAGGGCTATTACATTATCATTTTGCCCCCATATTTGGAGCTGGGTAGCTAACAAAACCTGCTTAGCCATGTTGCGATCAACGTGCATAGACATGTACTCCCTCTGTTTCAAATTACAATTTGAACAAAAACCACGACAAGTACGTAATTTGGAACGGAGGGAGTATGTGGGTAGGTATATGTATATTATGATTATCACTTATCCAGAGCAATCTAGGTAGCGACGAGCTGATCTCCACGCCACACCATGATCTCCGAGCAGTCGGGATCGGGCATTCCTCTCGACTCGTTGTACTCCTCTGCGGCCAATCGTTGCACAAACTTTACCGAATCCTGGAAGAAAAACAACACATGACGACCATGATTCCAGTTACTCTGGTAATAAATCAAGATGAATGGAACATTGTTCCAGTGTTTTATGTGTTTTATAATCCAATTACGGAGTTACAGTACCTGTGAGGCGTCGGGCTCGGAGACGGGGAAGCGGTCCCACCGGTGCGGGTTCCAGAGCAGGGCGCTGCCGAACGCGAAGCGCGCCACGTCCACGGTGCCCGCCGGCGGCCTCGCCGCCCTCACCGTCGGCGTCGCGTCGGCCGTGGAGAACCAGCCGGTGACCGCCGACGGCGAGCCTCCGCACACCGGCCCTTCCACCGTCGCCTTCCGCTCGCGCTCCGACACCGTCGCGACCGGCCACGCACCGAACGTCCTGCACCATACATGCACACAGTGTGCTGCTCCATTCATGCACAGTAACGGCAGCGGCGGCTAATGAATGGATTCAAATTAATGTCTCGTTAGCGCCAATCATTCGCTCGCTCGTCCACGTTTCTACCGACACTCGGGCGCGCACCGAGGCAAGCGGAGGATGGTGCGCACATGGACATGCACGTCCACGACAACATGGTGGTACACTGCTGGTGCTGCTGAGTGACATCCATCATGCCATCTAGCTATCCCTGCTCGATTCCTAGCTAGTGGAGTACTATTAGCTGGTGCATCATATTATCACCGATCACTATGGGCCTAGCTAGGGTGGCCAGTCCGACTCCCATGCCATGCTGCATGCACATTATTTGCTACGGCTCGTCTACTGTCGACTCCACCTACAACGCTGGGTGCAACTCTGAATTACTACCCGCAGTGCAACTTAATCACCAGTTTACTACACTACAATTACCAGTTCACTAAAGGATCGATCGACGAATGAAATGAACAGGTTAACCAGACTTGTAGGCAGGAGAATGCATGCACTCACCTGATCTGCCTGAGCTGGTCGAAGAAGCGGAGGTCGTAGACGTCGCCGAGGCCGGCGAAGAGCACGACCCCGGCCAGGCGGTGCTCCTCCACGTGCCCCAGCGCCACGTTCCGCTGGTGGTGCCGCTCCTTCTCCGTGCCGACGCCGTCTGCCGTGAAGTTCTCGGGGTAGGTCAGGTGCCGGTACGACACCCCGGCGCCGCGCAGCAGCCGCGCCGTGTCCGGGGCCTCCGTCGCCCGCTCCACCACCAGCCACAGCACCGGCGGGGGCACGAGCCTGAGTGCGTGCGCCGCGCGGGTGAGCCCTGCTGCGCGCCTCTCCGGGTCCGACCGCTCCGTGGCCGTCACGACCAGCAGCAGCTGCGGCTGGCGCAGCGGCTCCGGCTCTGGCGGCGGCGAGGGGAGGGCGGTGACGGCGACGTCGACGGGTCCGTGCTGCAGCTGCCGCTGCTGTTGCTGGAGCAGGAGCACGGTGTGGTTGAAGGCGCCGTCGACGGCGTGGAGCGCGCGGAAGACGTGGGCGGTGGCCGCGGTTGATGCTACGTGGGTCCAGCGGAAGGCCGGGGCGAGGCCGGCAAGGAGGCCGAGGAGGAAGCAGAGGGAGGAATGCAGCATGGCTCGCCGGAGCAGCAGGGGCCGCCTCGCCCGCGGCTTTGCTTTCTTCGGCGACGCCATGACAAAGCAAGCAGCAGCAGCAGCTTAGCTAGTGTGTATGTGTGTTTGGTGGTGTCAGCAGCAGAGCGGCTAGGTAGGTGATCGAGTGAGTGAGTGTGTGATCGGGTCTTGCTTAATTTCTGCGATGGAAATGATTCTGTACGCCTCACTTGGAAAGTTGGAATTGATGGATGTAGGTGCTGGCACATGTGGCCGGTCTAGACGAGAGTATTGCATTTCTTTTTCTTTCTTCTTGTGTCGACTGGCGAGTCTAGTCATGGTCTCTCCGGCGGTGTAATTAAGAGAATGCCTCGTTTATATTTAGCTCAAGTTTGCCGTTTGATGGCAACACCATGTATCTTTTGGCCTTGTGGCTTTATTAATATAAAGCGGGATAAAAGCCTATTGGCTTACTTTAGCTCAGCTTGGGGCCTTACGGCGATCTACATGCACAAGTATATTTATGATTTACTAGGACTTTCACAATTTCCTCTGGCTGTTTGAATTCCATGTTCAAAATTTAGGAGAAACCTTACTCGGAAACCAGTACTGGAGAAAATCTTGCCTCGTTGATATATGGTGTTACTGCCTGCCTTAAGCCGATCCCGGCCTTGGTTCTTCACATCCAAAATGGGTCCGTCACCGGTGGGGATGGTGCAAGTCAATTTGGATTCAGGATGTAAGTGGCGACGGGTCCCACTAGTCCCACATATGCCACCCGCAAAAAACAGTCTAAATGGCGTTCGTGAAGATCCAGTAAAAATTAGTGGCGCAAGTGGACAGACCAACTAAGCCCACGAGTGCTAGCGGCGCGTTCGCCTCCGTCCCCGAACACCCAACGCTGCCATGCCCTAGAGCGGACGCCTTCGCCGCCGCCATGTCCAAACGCAACCCCCTCCCCCCTTCCAATCCTCTCCGTTGTCCATGGTGCTGCCGTCGCCACTGAGTCTCTCAAAGGGGCCGCCGTCCAAGGGAAGCGCCGGGGACTGAGCCGAGCAGTGTGGGGGCGCCTCCTCTATTCTCTCTCCCAACCCCGCCGTTCAGCCCCTCCACCGCCGCCGCTGTCCAAGGGAATCGCCAGGGAGGCAGGGACCGAGTTGATCCTTGCGGCGATGCCTCTTCTGCTATCTCCCTAATCCTGCCGATGCTCTCTTCAACCCCTGCTCCTCCGCCTCCTCTTCTCCAAACAGGTAAGCAAAATACATGTTCGTGCGTGCGTCGTCGTGCCCGTTCCCCGTGTCTGTGTTGAGTGACAAGAGAAGATGGTGAGAGGGACTAATGAGGCCTGTACTGAATGATCGGATTAGGCCTGTACTAATGCCATTGTATCACTGTATCAGTTTGCTTCTTAGTAAATACTATATGGTACTATGTGGACACCACATACGCCACACAAATAATAATTGGACTATGACATAGTCCCGCATAAGAACCGGTGGTCAGAGTGGACAAGTCCCACAATGTCCAGCGAGCTGTCCATTTACATCCTGAATTTGGATGCAGTATTTGCTAGTTCTTCTCGGAGGATGGGGTTTGGAGTGGTTATCCGAGACTCCCTTGGTTCTTGTCTTGCTAGTTGTAGTGGACACATTGAGGGGTTGGCCACCCTTGAAATGTTTGAGGCATTGGCCATGCGCGAGGCGATCTTGTTTGTGGGGACTAAAGGTTCCAGGAACATTATCCTGACCTTTGATTGTCTCACTCTTATCTCTAGGCTAAATTTGGCGTCGAGGGACAAATCTACTCTCCCGGTCCCGGCTATGGCGAAGGACATCAAGAGATCAGGGGCCGACCTTTCGCCAGTCTCCTTTGTTCATGTTAGTCGTGTTTTGAATGTGACGGCAAATAGTCTTGCTAGGGCGAGTGAACTTTGTGTTTTTTTTGATCTTTCATGATGTCAGCCCAGAGTGTATCTGGGAATCTCTCGATAAAGACATATTATGACGAATGAAGAGCTGACCTTGAAAAAAAATACAATGAGCCAAATGATCTGAAACTTTTTCTAGGATATTCAGTTGTGTATTTCTGATTTACTAGATTTTTTCAATTTATTGTGAAATGTTTGAATTGTGAATATTTTCAATCATTTTCAGCATGGGTGCAACACAATGTATGCGTGTGTGGCAGGGGGGGTGGGGGGGAGGGGTTGATGGGCAAGACGTATAATATAATGGGTTGGGGTCTCAGGGGCGGGAACTGACAACGGCGAGTTGCGGTGGGTCGGCGGTACTTGCTGACCTCTAGGGCCTCAGGTCGTGCTAATCGCTCATAATCACTGAACCCGTGGCCATCTGATAACTACTTTAGTATTCTAAACGCCCATATACTATCAGTTTGTCTAATTCACATCTAGATATTTTTTAAAAATGTTACATCTAAACTTCCACAAATATATATAATGCATCAACAAGAAACAAAAAAACTAGGACAAAAAAAAGACCACAAATAGAATGGACATCAGCTTAGATGCGACATAATTATGTCACATCTAGATGTGTCTTAGACAGACCCATATACTATTAGTTTACGGAGGGAGTACTATACTATCATGTCATCCCATGGTTATAGGGAAAGTATCTCCCATAATCGCTGAACCCGTGGCCTGCCCGAAAAAAAAGTTTGATGAACCCGTGAAACAATGTGTTTGTCTTTACCCTTTCAAGTGTCCACTCGGGTGCAGGATTCGGAAGTACTTGGACACTCGAGTCGGTGATATGATCCGGCTGTCCGTAAGGTACTCTCCGCCGATTAGGTACATACATGGAGTGACATATGGAGATAGCGAACTGACTTAGGGATAACGTGTATAGGGACTAACGAGTTTGGTTCGATGTGTGGCGTGACCGATTAGTTGACATGTCAGAGTGACGTGGCAACACAACTCAGAAAAGCTGGATTAAAATGGATGGAACCAGATTAGGAGAGACGTTTTCACGGCTCAAGAAGTCTAAGAAAGTTGGGAGTTTGGGATTGAAACTTCAACTCTAGGACGAGTGTAGAGGGATAATGTGGTGCATGGCGTTTCTCCTATTTCCTCCGGCCCCTGTACTTTCTGTTACGACTGGATACAATACACCTGTGCATGTAGTTTGCTATGAAATTAAGCTCCTCACATGACCTACACACATGGCTCTAGGTTGCCTACACGCTGCACGAACAGGGAAAGCAATTAAGCAGAAGTCATAGACTCATAGTAGTAGACGTAGAAAGATCAGAGAGGAACGCTTGCTTACTTTACAAGGTTGGTTGATGATCACGTGGTTACCTCATCACAAAGGAACCATCCAGTGCCATTCAAAGCAAATCACACACAATGTTTGTGCCGATCCAGAAACATATCTTCATCACACACTCCATGTGAAGGAAAATTGACACTATAAATTCATATAGTTGTGTCAAAATTTAAGTTCTCATTAGATTAAATCACTAACAGATTCGAACCAACATTTTTTTTATGAACAAAGTTGGAACCAAACATTTTGCGTTTTAGATATGTTACATCCAACTAGGAAAAAGAACATGTTACATGCAATTTGTGTCATGACATACCCTGCATTTTTTTTTGTGATTGACCATGGCATTGACTTGTGGACAAAGTATATATATAGCAACATCATCATCATCATAAGCCTACATGGCGTTTTTTTTTTTGCGTTGAAATGAGTTGAAGCCAAGGACATTAGAGAAGAGTTGGTACTTGTCCTCAACGTCGTTCATCCCACCTCCCCGTTGCCTCCAACCCGACTGATGAATTCATTCCGCACCATTGGGTCGATGTTGATTTTGTGTGTGAACTTTTATTGGGAAGGTAGCAAGGTGACTTTCTCATTAATTATGTGTGGCATTTTTGTTCATAAAAATGTTTATGTGTGGCATTTGTTTTTTCAAAAGCTTCTAATTGAGTAGCGCTCATTTCCTATGTTGTCCAACTCGGGCCATTGAGTGGCGATCCAAATATAGTAAGCACGATATTTGCGACCAACTAAAAACAAAACACACGCTAAAAGCCCAAAATTCGAATGTTTTAGCTTCCCTCCTAGCACTGTGGCTAGTGGAGAGGATGCTAGTCCACCCTCGCATGGTGCTCGTTGATGCTGATATTGCTGCCGCTGCTGTCGGGAAGGTCGGGGAGGACAATCAACGAGGTTGGGGCGCCACCGTGGTGCCTACCCGATGTCGCCACTCCGGCCATGTAGACATCGACAAGAAGCTCAACCGCCATCGAGACATGTATGTAAGGGGGGGGGGCATAGGGGTGTCGGTGGAGCGGAGAAAGGGAAGGAAAAGAAGGGATGAGAGGAGTATTACGACTAAGGAAGGGAGGACAAAGAGGTAGGATCCGTCGAGGATTTTTCTTTACCAATGAGTTTGAGTGAGCTTTTTTTGGCTTGGATAGGGCAAAGTAACAATAATCCTAGACACACGGTCATCAACAGACATCTTACGGATTCCCTCACACTAACTAGGCGCCTGCTAGGCGTCATTCGGTTGATCCCCGCGTAGGACCAGCCTCCTCGGTCGTCAAAGCATTGCCGCGACGGTCATCAAAGCATCGCCATGACCATTGAAGCGTGCTTCGTTGCATGATCTCAGTCGTCAAAACACGCCTCATCGTGATGGTCATCGCAGCATTGCCACGGGCGTCATGGTCGTTGAAGCATTGCCATGGTCATGGAAGCACACCGCGCGGCATGGCCACGGTCGTCGATGCCATCACGGCCTCGCCGCGGTGGTCTCATCACAGCATTGTCGTCGTCGTGGTCGTTGAAGCATTTCCATGATCACCGAAGCACGCCTCGCGGCATGGCCACGGTCGTTGACGCCATCACGACACGCCTCATCATTGTGGTTGTCGAAGAATTGTCGTGGCGGTCAAATTGGTTGTCGAAGCATTGCCACAACCAGTGAAGCACACCTCACAGAGTGGCCGTTGTTGGGGAACGTAGTAATTTCAAAAAATTTCCTACGCACACGCAAGATCATGGTGATGCATAGCAACGAGAGGGGAGAATGTGATCTAC